AGAGAGAGAGAGAGAGAGAGAGAGAGAGAGAGAGAGAGAGAGAGAGAGAGACTGAGATCCAACCACCCCAGTGGCCCTGTTCCCAGCATATCTTACAGAGTGTAGCGTGTCCCCTGTGGAGTTGAACACACACAAACACGCACACACATACACATGTACACAAAACTGCAGGCAGGAGCTCCTCCTCCGACCACCTCGGGCCCAGCCCTCAGACTGGGGGGCAGGGGGAGGTGGTGGTGGGGAAGTTGGGTAGATTGTGCTGTAAGACTGTGAGGGTCAAGTGACTAAACAACGCCGAGTCAATGTGTCCAAGTGGTGAATGGGGGCAACGCGTGCTGCTTTACTCACAAATAAGAAAGGGGTCCCTGGGAGAGGCTGCTCATTGCGGGACCAGAGGGCCCTCTGTGCCCAAGCCACCTGGGGGATTTCTACATGAAACTCCTGTCCCAGCCACAGCAGAACCTCTGATCTGAATTCTGAGTTTCAAATAATCTCCTGGGCTCTGATGAGAAATGTTATTTCCTTGACGGACAGCAGCAACTGGCAATTGAGTTGCCCAACCATCTAGTCCAGTAATTACAGCAGAAATGACAGCATCATTGATTTAAACCAAACCATAGCTTGGTCCTTAGAGCAGAGCTTGAACTGTGTAAGAAGGGTTCATTTCTGGATAGAAAGAGAATAACCAGGTAATCAGCCCTTACCTGCACCTCTCACACACCAAATTTCAGGCAAATCAAGTCAGTTTTATGCTTTTATCCCAATAACTAAAATCCTTATATTCTAGGAACTGGAGACCCCCACAATTAGGGCATTTTGAAATCCTAAACCACTACTTTTCTCTCAGGATTACCTTTTCGCCCCTCCACCAAAATAAACACTTAAAAAGTAAGCCAATGAAAATTCTTCTTCTTTTTGGTAGAAATTTACTTATCACTTGAGATACCTGGAGACATCTTGGGATGTCACAAGGGAGGTGAGGAGTACTTCCGTGGGGACCAATTTGCACAACGCTGAAGAAAGGGTCAGTTTTCAACAAAACAGTGCCCAACAACTGTGATTCAGAAACAGGGGTAATAGGCAAAGATGGTAGATTGTGCCCAGGCCTCCATCTCCTGTGCTACATGAAGGGGCAAGCAACAGATTCTTATATCTTTGTTTAGCCAGGAAGAGAATATCGCTCCCTCCCACTGGGAACTGGGATCCAGGCAGCTGCAGGGAAAATGATGGAAGCAGGAAGGAGCGACATCTCAAAAACAAAACAGAGTTCCTTGATCGCTTGTTGACCAAAGGTACTTCTCGGAGGAGGACAGAAACAAAGGGCCCCGGAGGAGGGACTTCCCTTGATGGCTGTCCGCATTGTTTCCATTACTATTCCATTTCCTGCAGGTCCTGAGGAGGCAACAACTGGTTGGTTCACAATTCCCACCAAAGGCTTGGGAAGGGGAGCAGAAAGCAGAGTTTGGGAAGCCACGAATTCTTGCCAAAGCTGAAGAGCATGGGCTGTGTCTGTGAGGTCTTTGAAGTCCTTGAAAAGGAGCCCAAGAAGCCCAACGAGGTTGTCTGAGATCCAGGAAGTGCTGGGAGTACTGTCAGGATGTCTCTTATCCTCAGGGGACACCTAGCGTTTTTCTAGTTCCAGAAAGTGCGTGGGAGCTGCTCACTGTCAGTGTAGGAGGAGATGGAGATTATGGAGGGAGACAGGTAGAAAAAGTCCTCTCTTATCAGGCACTGGCCCCCTTCCCTTCTGGGGACAGCCGACAGGGAGGAGCTTGAGGTCTGACTGGGGTGGGGGTTCTAAAGTCAGCAGGAAAGGAGGCTATGCAGTTACCATGGCAGACTCAGGCGAGGGCCTCTCTCCCACACTAACTGAGCTCCACGAATAAATAACATTAATTAAATAAAGGAGGCTAAGAAGAGCAGGCAGAGGCACGGTCTGCCAGATTCTCACCCTCTCACACACACGCGCGCACACACACACGTGCACACACACACACACACACACACACCGAGCGGCAGATGAGATGATGGCGGGCTGGCTGCCCCATCCCAGGACTCTGTCCGATGGGCAGCCTGGCCGAAGGGTGTCACTCATGGTCCAGCACTGTTGCAGGGCGCAGAGCAGCAGAGGCCAGGGAGGCATGTGTGGTGGAGGGTGGAGGCCGCTGAGGACTCTGGCACCTACAGGGGTGGGGGTGGGGAAAAGTGGGTGAAAGGGGAGGTTGGGAAAGTGCAGGAAACAGAAGAGTGAGGACTTTCCTTTGCCCGGCTCCTGTTGCTATGGGAACTCCTCCCCCACCCTCCCTCTATGCCCTGTGGGTATGTCCATGCAGCTTCCCTGCCTCTATCCCAAACCACTGCCCACTCTGTCATGGTGGTACTGACCAGGATCTGGACTTCCGGACTTTAGACGTGGAAGGTCTTTCCAGAAAGCTGTCCAACCGCATGAGCCTCTCCATGTGTAGTGCACGGGGATCTTGTTCTTGGTCGTGAGAGAATTCCATCTCGAAGACAGCTGGAGGGGACACATCCAACTCCAAGAACATTATGTTTTCAGCCTGTGGTAAGAGTATCACGCCAGATATGAGCAGATATCACGCCTGATGACTACCTTTTGGCATTCAGTGCGTATTAGGTGTAGCAAGAGGGGTGAGGCAGGAGGAGGAAGCAGAGGCTGTGAACTGTAGTCTCCCTTGGGCTCTCCCTCCCCTCCCCCCTTCCACTCTCCAGCTTCTTACCCTGTATCTGGGGTGGGACCCCATTGCCATGGCAACCCGAGCATATTGGCTGATAGGCCTCTTGTAGCCCACTGCAGATGTTGGCCGCTTCTTCATTTGGCTGTTATTACTGTAGGGAAGAAGCTATATCAGAATGTATTTCCATCAAACACAAAGGGGAAATGATACTATGAGGAATTAAGTATCATTTAGGTAGACAGGAGGCCCTGCATACTGCACGTCCTGGAACTTTCTTCTCTTTGCTGTAATACAAGCTGACAACTAAAACTAGCATAACACAAGGAGGCACATATTTCTTCACTCTTGTTGCTTCAAATTTTTTTTTTTCCCTACAGTAAAAAGGGTTGACTGAGGGCAGGAATGAGAAAGAGGAAATTCAATCTTATTTTAGCTATCAGATTCATATACTGGTTTCATATACTACACAAACCCACTGATGATTAGTGGTTCTCCTTTTCATTTTCCTTCATAGGAGTTAGCACAACAAAATGACTAAAAGCTCAAGGTTGCAATGCCAGGGTCCCAAAAGAGACAAAACAATCTTGAAAAAGTACAAAGTTAGAGGACTCACATTTCCCAGTTTGAAAACTTATTATAAAGCTATAGTAATCAAGGCTGTATGGTACTGGCATAAAGATAGACATATAGATCAATGGAATAGAATTGAGAGTCTAGAAATGAATTTTCATATTTACCATAATTGATTTTTCCATAAGAGCACCAAGACCATTTAATGCAGAAAAAAGAGTCTCTTCAACAAATGGCACCTTCCACCATACTTAAAAATTAACTCAAAAGGGATCACAGCCTTAAATGTAAGAGCTAACACTATAAAACTCTTAAAATAAAACATAGGAGTAAGTCTTCTTGATCTTAGATTATGCATTGGTTTCTTAGCTATGATATCAAAAGCTCAAGCAACAAAGGAAAAAAATAAATAGTATTTTATCAAAGCTGAAAACTTTTGTGCTTCAAAGGACATCATAAAGAAAGTAAAAGACAATCTACAAAATGGCAGAAAACATTTGCAAATCATATATCTGATAAGGGACTTTTATCCAGAATATATAAATAAATCTTACAAATCAACAATAAAAAAACACAAACCCAATTTAAAAACGGACAAAGGATGGGAATAGCTGTTACTTCAAAAAAGATATACAAGTGGCCAGTAAGCACATTAGAAGATGCTCCACATTATTAGTCATTAGAGAAATGCAAATCAAAACTACAATGACATACTACTTCACACCCACTAAAATGACCATAATCAAAGAAGACAGGCAATAACATGTTGCTGAGAATGCAGACAAATTAGAACCATCATACATTGTTGGTGAGAATGTAAAATGGTGCAGCTGCTTTGGAAAACAGTTTGGCAGTTCCTCAAAATGTTAAATACAGAGTTACCACGTAACCCAGTACTTCCTCTACTAGGCATATATTCAAGAGAATTGAAAACATATCCTCATACAAAAACTTGTACATGAATATTCACAGCAGCATTATTCCTAACAGCTAAAATGTAGAAATAACAGAAATGCCCATCAACTGATGAATGGATGAACAAAATCTGACATATCATAGAGTGGAACATTATTCATCAATAAAAGGAGTGAATTACTGATACACGCTATAACACAGATGGAGCTTGCAAATGTTTTGCTAAGTGGAAGAAGCCAGACACAAAGGACCACATATTGTATGATTCCATTTATATGAAATGTCCATAATAAGCACATAGAGACAGAAAGTATACTGGTGGCTGCCTAGGGCTGGGGGCATTGGGGAGAATGGGGAGTGACTGCTAATGGGGATGGGATTTCCTTTTGGGATGATGACAATGTTCTGGAATTAGATCGTGGTGATGGTTGTACAAGTCTGTGAATATGTTAAAATCCACTGAACTGTACACTTTAAAGTGATAAGGTTTATGACATGCGAGCTATGCCAACACAGCTGTTATGCATGTTTTTATATTTACTTATATATATGGGTATTCATAAACAATATATACGGTATTTGTAGGCTTATTTCTAATTTTTTAACTGTATGGTATAAGTACTGCATTTTTTTGTGGTTAACAAACATGTTTTTTAGATTTATCCATGCAGCTCTAGGTGAAAGTGTATCTATATAGGTTTCAATACAGCAACACATACCTATATACACATTATATACATATACAAATGCGTATATATTCTCTTGTTGATGGATGTCTAGGTTGATTCCTTCCCCCGTCCTCTTAAACACAGTGTTGTTGTGAACATTTCTGTACAGGTACCTTCAAGGACATATTCAACAGTGTCCCTGGGAATGGAATGGTTGCCCGGGAATAGAATGGCTGCATTGCAGGGTATGTGCATTTCAACTTTACTAGATATTGCCAAATTGCTTTTCAAAGTGGTTATACCTATGAAAGTTTCCACAGCCCTACTGTATCCTAGCCAACTCATGGTATATCAGACCTTTTACTTTCAGCAATTTGATTAGTGTGATTGTTACTTTTATTATTCAAAACAAACAAAGATACGAAAGAAAGCAAGAAAGTTATTTCCATTAAAAACAAGACAAAAACAGATTTTGGAGTTAGACAGGCCCGGTTTGAATGCTGGCTCCGCCTCTGAAAGCTCTGGGACCTGGGAAGTGGCTTTGTATCTCTGCGCCTCGGCTGGCTCAGCCCTGTCCTCCGGATCGGCTGAGATGAAAGCAGGCAGACATTGCACAGAGCACCATACACTGCCAGGGCGTCACACACGGCCGCTGAGATGATTCTTCATTCTCAATGCCACTTGGTAATTTCAAGCAGGGATACAAATGAGCAATGAAAGAAGCCAAAAGGCAGACAAAAGACAGAAGAGGAGATGAAAGAGGCCGAGTAATTCAGATAGGACGTTCTGTCCTTGAAGAGCAGAGCGAGCAGTGCAGGAGCCAACAGGACAGTGCCTGCCTTCTGCAGCAGAGAGTAGTAAGAATGCTCATGTGATTCATTTCATCAAGGGTAAAAAAGAGTGCAGGGCCCCACTTGGGGTCCCTGCTGACTCCTCTTTATAGATGGAAGTAAATAAGGATGATCTGTAGAAAGAAGCCCTAGCTCAATCGCCCTGCTGTGGTGGGACCTCGGAGGCTGTTCTTGTGGAGAGGGCGGCATCAGTGACACCTCTGAGGGAAGTGGGAAAATCAGTAAAATAATAACTTATTATTTAGAAGGTGAACCTACACATCCAATTTGAACTTCACAATCACCTCCTGAGATGTAGACAGGGCAGACACCATGATGCCTTTGTGCCCAAGGTCAGGCAATTAGGAAGAGATTAGGAAGAGAACCTTTCCAGATACTCTTTGTACGATGCTGTCCTGTCTCTCAGGAGTACACATGAAACTGGGGCCGAAACAGGCCTTGAAGGCTGCAGGCTCTGGGACCAGGATGGAAGGACAGGGCTGGGAGAGCAGAGCAATGGATGAGTGAATTGGCAGTCTGACCCAATAAAGATGCCAGGGCTATTCTGGGTGGCATGCGGGAAGAAGGGGCTGGGTGAAGGGGAGTCTGTAATTGGGACACCAAACTCCCTGTCTACTCCCTCTTCTGCCTCGGGCCTACTTTCCACGACTGATCCCTCCATAGTAAGCCGGCTGTGGCCGACAGCCCAGAGCAGAGGCCTGGCTCTGCATGCACCACCCTCCCAGCAGAGGCCTGTGCCAACAGTCAGCATGTGCTTAGTGGACCCTAAGAGTTCTCTTGGAGTCTCCCTCCAAATGCTTACTATCATAGCACTATTTTTCTTCCTTAATATTAAAAAGTCACCTCCTGGCTCCATCTCAGGGGCTGAGCCCCATTCTCATGACCAGACCAGCTCTGTCTGATCACCCCCTTTCCTCTCCTGTTCTGAAAACAGGCATCCAGCAGCAAAGGGTGTGTTTTCCTCCCAGGTCCTTCACAGGTATCCGCCACAGCGAATCTGACTTTTCTCCATGATCTGGTCCCTCCGTCTCCGCAGGTCAGCCGTCCACCTTGCAGCATTTGCTTGTATGCTGGAGCTCACTCTCCACATCCCTGCGCACTGCCCAACACCCTGCCTGGGAAGGCTGCCGCATCTCCCTACTCTGGCTTTTTCACTTCCAACAGGCCTGAAAAGACGTCTAGGTATGCAATCCAGAGCTGAGAACGTTCTCGCTGAGGTAAACTCTGCCTCTGTAACAAAACCAGTTTAACTTCCCATCCTGATTCTATTTGGAGCAAGGAATGCTTTCTCTTTAAACTTGGAGGTAACCTAAATAAAAAATTAAGAGGTGAAACAGAAACAACCAAACTGCCCTTCTATGGCACTTCGAAGGGACGAAGACGGACTGGTTTCTTGGGCATTCCTGTAACTGTAATATTGGCTTATTAGTATGATTGCAACCATTTCTTTTTCTTTTTTTTTAATTTTTATTGAGGAATTGGGGGAAGAGGAACAGACAAGTTGCTGTCTTTTTGTTCTTCAGTCTAGTTGTGGAGGACGTTGCTTCACTGGCCCAAGTTGGCACCATGATTGCGCTCTTCCCAGGCAAGGCAGATTAGTCGCCGGCTTCTGGACGGCCGCTCACAGAGGCTTAAGGGCCACTCACGCTGGCTGCTGGCTACACACAGTAGCCCATGGCAACCCACTGCAGCAGGGGCTGCAGCCTATGCCGTCGCCGTTGCTTCACGGCAACCCAGCTCCAGGTTGAGCTGTTGTTCAGCATCTTAGCTGTAGAGGGCAGCGTCACTGGCCCTCATATGGGGGATCCAAACGGGGGCGCTCTGGCATCCCAAGCCAGTTCCCAACCAACGTGCCATTTGGCTGGCCCTCAAAGACTTTTTTTTTTTTTTTAGCTGAGTCATCCTGCCCCCTTTTGGCAGCTCAGCGGCAACTCAGCTCGGGCTGGACTCGAACCGCTGTTGCTCAGAGCTCAAACCCTTGAGCGAGCTCTTAACCAACTGAGCCACTCGGCCGGCCCTCCCTCAAAGACTTTTAAAACAGGAAAGCTGAGGGCCGGCCGGCCGAGTGGCTCAGTTGATTATGAGCTCGCTCAGGAGTTTGAGCTCTGAGCAACAGCGATTGCAAACATTTCTTGATCATCTCCTCTGTGCCAGGGACTGGCTTGGAGCCTCACATACATTACCTTACTTCAAACTCAACAATCCTACAGGGTACATTTATTATCCCAATTTTACAGATGAAGAAACTGGGGTTCAGAGAGGTTAAAAAAAACCCTTTTCAAGGCCACAAGTAAGAGGCAGAGCAGGGCTAGAGTTCAGAATGCTCTAAGTCCAAAGTCCAGCCTTTTTGTACCATGCCATGATGACTTTGAAAAGAATCTAGGGTGGCAGGTTGCACAGGCCAATGGGCGAAAGCTACAAATAGAATTTTGTGAACTGTATGTAAACCATGGGCTACAGACATTGCCAAATATCCAATCCTTAGAGGGTAATTTTGTATAAACACAATTAAAAATAAAGTCTCTTATGAGAAATTAAAAATAAAAGGCCATACTTGTAAAAATAGTTATTGCAGAGCTGGTTGCAAAAATGTTTTTTTCAAAGTAATGTTAAGACAAAATTGTTCGTGATTATGGAAGTCATCTCACCTGAAGTTATTGTGTATCAACTAGCGGCCACACAGAGAATATGGAGAAAAAAGAAAAAGGGATAGATTTCCAAAATAAGTTGATATGGGCATGTTTCAAGAGCTGCCTGACAATAACCCCTTGTTTTAGAGACAGGTCGGAGAAGAGTGTGTGACAGGGGCAGATGCTTGTTGCTAGAGTAGGAGCAGGAAAAGTGTTTTTCCAACAAAAGCCTTCCAAAGGGACAGCATGACTTCAGGTAATTTTTTTCCAACAATGCTTTCATCCTCTCCCTTTGAGCAGCCTTCAGTATTCTCACCCCCGGAATACCACAGGCCAAAGTAAAGCAAAATATTCTACACTTGAATGGAGCAAATGAGACAATGCCTTGATTAGTTAAATATGCTTTGGGAAGAAAAAGAGGTTTTCAGCCCTGATGAAGTTATGTTACAAATAGTGGGACCCAATGCCGAAGGAAGCACCTTCCTTCCAGCGAGGCAGCTTTATCCATAGGTCAGATGCCAAAGCTCCCTGAAAATGGGGGAAGTTTCGTTCAAGGACCTCCCACACTCAGCCCTCCCCTGTGAAATGAGGGGTGTGGGGCAGATGATCTCAGAGATCAGAGCCAGTGGCTCTTGCACCAGCTCTCTATGCTGAGTCAGAATCACAATGGGGATTCCAATTATGAGGGAATTGTTTTTACTTTATTTTAACCACCAAATGCTGCATAAGAAAAGGGGAACAGGGGAGATTAAAATTTTTTGTTTCATATAAAAACTTCCTATGTCTATTTTTACTTTTCTTTTGTATTTTTTTGTGACTTTTAAGATTCTGAGATAAATATTTATTGCAGTTATCAGACGCAGTGAAATGGACAGTGACATTAAAAAAATTTATAGTAATAATTCAGAATTGCATGTAGCTGATTACTTAGTATTTATTAATAGCTCTGAAGTTAATTTATTGGAGTTTATTCTTAGAGAAATCTATAATTTTATATCATTTGTATTTAAGTACAGTAGAGAACACTGATATGTCATAATTGCCTTAATATCTTTTACTCTTACCCAGATGTATTTTGTTACTTTCTGTACAAAATATATACTCTGTATAGATTCTGTATAAAATAGCATGGTTAAGTTGTAATATACTTAGCCACAATTTTGAAAAACTTGTAAACATACAGAGGGTGCCAAAAAAATTTTGGGCCGGCCGAGTGGCTCGTTGGTTAAGTGTTAGCTTGGGAGCATGAGCTCTGAGCAGCAGGACCTCCGGTTCGGATCCCACATGGGCCAGTGACGCTGCCCCCTCTACAATTAAGATGGTGAACAACAGCTTGACCTGGAGCTGGGCTGCCGTGAGTGTGGGCTGCACTGGGGCTGCAGTGGGCTGCCGTAAGCTATCGTGAATGACCGGCAGCCAGTATGAGCGGCTGGCAGTCGGTGTGACTTTCCATAAACCACCATGAGTGGCTGTCCAGTCACCGGCGACTGATCTGCCTCACCCAGGAAGAGCGCAATGATAATACCAACATGGGCAGTGAAGTGATGTCCTCCACAACTAGACTGAAGAACCAAAGGACAGCAACTTGTCTGTTCCCCTTCCCCAATTCCCCACGCTGTTCCCTCCCACAATTCCCCAATAAAATCTGTTTTAAAAAAATGTATACACATTTTAAGAAAAGAAAAAACTGTATTAAAATTGTAATATTCAATCTATACCAATAACAAAAGATGAATACAAGTCATGTGTATACATTTTTGTGGCACCCCCCCGTATTTATATCTTTACATTTTTAATCTAAAATGTTTAGAGGCCGGCCGAGTGGTTCAGTTGGTTAAGAGCTCGCTCAAGTGTGTGAGCTCTGAGCAACAGCGGTTTGATGCCCGGCCCGAGCTGAGTTGCCGCTGAGCTGCCAACAGGTGGCAGGATGGCTCAGCTAAAAAAAAAAAAAAAGTTTAGGAAACACAATCCTATTGGGATCCAGTTAGAAGTGCTGCTAACATAAACCCACAAATGCAGTTTGGAGAGGAATTCTATGCATACTGAAGTCAACCACGTATGTTTGCCAGGCATGAGTCTTCTCCAAGATTTATAGGAAAGAAAACACTGAAGTGTAAGCTAAAGCAAGAAGCAAGAATCAGAGTTTTCTGGTTTTCCTATGGCAAAGAAAACACTGACTCTTTCTCTCTTTGTCTTATTTTCGTCCAGCAAGAAGGATGATGGGGGAATCGTGAGAGAGGAAAGGGGGAAAGAGCATCACAGACAACTAGCTCTATTGTATCCAGCCCAGAACTGTTGCCAGAGGGTTTTGTGAGACACACAAAAGAGCACAAATTCACCTTCCATGCAGAAGGGAGGGACAAAAGGGACAATGGGCTGGAAAAGGTAACAGGTAAACAGTAAACAAAGATGCCTATCTATATTTTGGAGGGCTTATTTTTTAAAAGTTATTACTGGTATCTATTCTAAAAATTACTTAAAGTGTGCTATTTTAAAATAGCTGTTTTAATTTTTAAAACCTGTTAATGGTTTTCCAGTGTATATAACTATTTTATTTCTACAAAAAAAGGGATGTTTTAAAAGGTTATTTAGTTCAATAGTTACTTGAGTTATTTAAAAGGAAGAAAGTAAACTTAAAAAAAATAAAACCCAGAAATAAAGAATAGAAATTTATAATCGTTAAGCAGAAAGCTCAGCTTCAGGCAAAGCACCCTCCATGCTTTCAAGTCTGGATTGTGTGTTTGAGGTGGTCAAGTAAAAATTGCACGGGCAATGTTCTGAGAAATGAATAAACTCCTCTGAAGTCTGAAACTACAAAACTCAAATCAAGATCCCTTCTAAACTCCAGATTAAAGGAGACTAAAGAGGCATCACAAATACAACGCATCATCTTGGGGGGTGGGGGTGGGACTGCCATATAGGACATTATTGGGATAACTGGCTAAAATTGAATATTGCCTATATAATAACATTGTATAATATTATAATACATAAAATATAATAATATAAAATTTCCTGAATTTGATCATTGTACTGTGGTTATGAAAGAGAATGCCCTCATTCTTAGGAAATACAGGTAATGGGTTAGGATGTCTGCAATTTAATCTTAAACGGTTGGGGGAGTGGGGAATTAATACAGCAAGAGGAGGCAAAATATTAATTGGTGAATTTTGGTGAAGGGCATATAGGAATTCTTTGAATTATTCTTCAAATTCTTATTTTTCAAAATAAAAAGTTAAAAAACACATGCCTTCTCAGATCCTCTCTTATCTCATCTCTATCCAGTGTAAAGAAATTCCTCCACCTGCAAACTTTCAACTCAGGAACTTTTCTATGTGTAAAACAACCAATCAGACAGAGAAGAAGCTTTACCAGCAGAGGGCACTGGACTGACTTCCTTGTTGAAAGCCTCGCCAGGAAGCTTTGGGGAAAAGCAAGTTAAATCTTCGGATGCACCCAAGACCCTTTAAATCAGACTCTCTGGAGCCCAACTACAGGTGATTCCAGCTGCGTTCAGGGTAGAGAATCTCTGCACTAGATGCCATACTTCTGGGGGTCTCTACCTAGATTGGAAGGGTAGACTTTAAGTCCCAAGTGACACCATTGAAGTCTTCCATTCATGAACTTGCCACTTACAAACTTGTGTGGTGTCACCTTGGGTAGGACCAGCCTTTCATAAAGTAGCCAGATGAAGAATGCATCTGATGCTCGTGTGAGAAGCTGTAGACCTACACAGCTGGCTTCCAGCCCCAGCTTTGGGGTGACTCCTGCCTTACCTTGGCATTAATATTCCTACGATAAAGGGAGCAAAGAATCTTCGGTGTCTGGCCTCCTACACACCTCTGTATACAGATTTTCCATTAAGGGACCGTGGTCTAGCTGTGAGGCAGTCACTCTATTGGGTTTGACTATCCAGTCTTGTTCTCTAGAGCCACCAGCAGAGGGAGCTGCACACCCAGCCAATGGGCCCAAGCTACCTAAGGGCGAGGATGTGGAAACAGGTGGAAATGCTGAATCACCGAGCTGAGTGAGGTTATAAAGACTGGGTCACACCTCTGTCACTTCCTGATCTGGTGACTTCTCTGTATTCCCCACTAGACTGTGAGCTTTGACCATGTCTGATTTACCTTCTGTCTTGCAGAGTGCCCCCCAGTGGGCAGATAAATAGTAACTCTTGTTGCTGTTCTTGGCACCAGACAAATGAATACTCTCTGGCCAAATGTTAGCATTCACTGGGGTTACCAAGAGGCTGAGTTCCTCTTCCTCCCCTCCGTAGGCCCCTCATGGGGAATTTTCTACATCCCAGGACACTGAGAACGCCCTTCTTATCAGAACACCTTTCCTTTACAGAGACCCCCTCCATTAGGCCCTGAGAAATCCATCCTCCATCTGTATCCTCCCCACCTTTCCCCAATCCATAAAAACATCTGTCTCCCCAAAGGGCCCTGGTCATCCCCAACCTGGTGGGCTTGCAAGGCCCTAGGCCCAGACGAATGGGCGAGAGACTCACACTCCAGCGGGCACGAGAGGCTGGAATTTCCACTGCTCCTCCTCACAGTCCAGGAAAAGCCGGTTCATGATCTTGTTCTTCTCCTCTGGGGGGATGAAGTTCTCGATAATTAGGTACCTGTGAGCAGGAATAAGGTAGAGAAGGGGAATTGGGGAGTAAGAGACCACACATGTATATGAAGGTTGAAGAGTCAGAAGCAAGCTACAAAGAGGCAGAGGGAACACAGGTGGGGAAACCAAAATTTGGGGGAGGGGATCCCTATAGAAATAATAGACCTTGAAAATCACTTCTAATGCAAAGAGTGTAGGCTCAGAGCTGTAGGGGTTCCTTTTGGCCAGCACCCAGCATGCACTTCGGGGAGTAGGGGCGGGGGCGGGTAGTTTCATCAAATGCAGGCTGAGGAGGGAAGGAGAAGAAACTCCAGAACTTGGGCCTCTTCCTCATCCTTCAGACACGTTCTACTACTTAGACACATGCACTCATGGGTGAGTAGGCAGTTGGAACGAGGCCTTCAGGAAGGGGCAGAGCCTGTCAGGGAGAAGCTTGGGGACAGAGGGATGGCTGTGATGACCAGGAATGGGAAGAGAGGCCTACTTGAGCTTGAGTTCCCGGGTCTGCTCGTTCTGCGCCTCCTCCAGGTCCTGCCGCACACGGATGTACTCGTCATGCTGGTCCTGGATCTCCGCCTTCACCGCCTGCAGCTTGGCGTAGAGCTGGGTGGGGACGGGTGCAGCTCAGAGGCTGCACAGCAAGGCCGGGAGGCTCTGGCACCCAGCTTGGGCCCCAACGACTGCAGGCTCAGGGTCCACCAGCTCAGCACAGGATGAGGCCAGGGTCTGGTCTGAAGTTCCCTTCTGCTGCCCGACCGAGAATCAGGACAGGATATCCCTCCTACACTGTGGCCTGTTACCTGCTCTCTCTCAGCTGATGACAGCATCGTGGAATGTTCAAACTGGAAGGGACCCGAGGGACCCTTTTGGTCCAACACCTCTTTTTATAGAAGAAGAAACTCAGGCATAGGCTTGATCAAGGTCATACAACTATTATATATAGTTAATAGAAGAGCGAGAAGCAGGACCCAAGTGCAGGACTGCTGGTCCAGGGCTCAGGGAGAACAGGGGGCCTAAACCAGTATGGAAGGTAACCCACCCCACTCCTACCTCTCCAGGGGCCTCTCAGAAGTAGGTGTGTGGAGGGCAGCACCGACCCTGCTGTCCCACTGCTAACCCACTGAGAAGTGTGTACCTGGAAACTGCCATTATGGCCGAGCCTCTGCTTGGCCCGCTCTGTGTGTGTGTGTGTGTGTGTGTGTGTGTGTGTGAGATGGGGGTGGTGGAGTGGCCTACATCAGCAACTCTAAGAGCTCTCCAGGATCTTCCCAGAATCCAGGCTGGAACTTGCTACTTCCTGCCCTTGACCCTCATCTCATGTACACACGTTTCTTTAGCCATGGACTTTGCAGGGTCCTGGTGGCCAGATACTCTCATCCTTTCACATGTCCTCAAGGACCCTGTGTTCCTCCCTGGAGCTCCCCAAGGCTCAGGCTCCCTCACCACTCCCCTGGCCCTGCTCTAGCCCCAGCTATCCAAACTGCGACTCTCTGGTGACACCGTAAAGGGGAAAGTTGCCCAGGACCATGGGACAACCTTGGAGACTGAAGTGACAGTGTTCCCAGGCTATCAGGCCCAGCCTGGCCCAGGAGAAAAGGCTCTATTCCACCCCAACACTCCTTGCCTTCCCCACTCCTCACCACAGCAGCCCAAGCAGTGTAACTGGGGTTCAGTAGTTCAAGTAAAGTGGGGAAGAGGCACTAAAGCACACACACCCCTTGGGCAGGTGACTGCCTTGAGCAGAGGCTGCGGGACCTCACACCTTGACCCCATCCTGCTGTGGCATCTCACCTTTTTGAGTTTCTTGGTTTTGACCTCCACCTCCTGCTGCAGGGACGTGTAGGTGCCCCGGAGCTCCATGGTCTCCTCATCTCGGAGCATCATCTCCTGCTGCATTTCCCGCTCACGGCGTTTCTAGGCCAAGGCAGGACACAGGCGCTCAGAGCACAGCACGTAAAGAGGAGGCCAAGGGGTCTCGGGGACAGGCTCACTCTGTCTACCATGGGGCCTGGCTTCACTGTGGCCCCAGCTACCAGGAGGGAGAAGGGAGCGTCCCATGGCCTACGTCCACTGCTCCCACCCCATCCTCAGTGGAGCCTCTCTGAACCTTTGCCAGGCATTGCCCATGTGGATGGAGACCCCAGCCCTAACCACTGGTGCATTCCAGAGGTGTCGACACATATACGATAGATGTACATTGTACTGGCTTCCCAACTGCCCTCCCCACCTCCCCACCATGGACTATTACAGTTGACTGGTCAGACCAACCAATTGTGGTTCTTGATGACTCAGAACATAGTCATACAGTTGGCAAAGAACTCGCACCCTTGTGGAAGGCCCCGGAGTTAGTACTAGGTGCCTCGTGGAAGTTGACATTGTGGAGAGCCACCATTGTCTCTTGCCCACCACTAGTAGTGCCCCTGCCAGAGGCAGGCCCTGGGCTGGTGGACCCATGGGATCCAGCACTAGTGCAGGGATCCTGAGTACATGATGGCATGATCTCAAGGCCACGCGCCTCCAGGGACCCAATGCCCCAGGCCTACCTGCTCAGCAATCTCCTGCCTCTTCAGTTCCAACATCTTTTGTTGCTCATTAGTGTGATCCATGATGTTCCGGCCCCCAATGAGCAGCTTGCTCTCCATGGCCTGGGGACACAGAGGGGTTTAGACGCAGGCTTTTCAGAGGGCCACAGGAACCCCAGGTGGAGAGGTTTTACTTCCCTGCTGTCTGTGGTCCTTCTAGGAGGAGACACAAGATGTGTCCCAGATGGGGCCTTGTGGCTCTCAACAAGGGTGAGTTTCCTCCTCCAGCCTCTTGGGCCCCAGCACAAGGCTCCCATTGTTGGCAGGACCATTAGGTGAAAAGAAGAGAGGGAGTCCCTCAGGGAATGTAGGGCACCTGATCTGTTTGTTTTGAATCCAGATGGAAGGTGGTTTGCCATGCCTGGGAGGGTGTGTGGGGGGTGCAGGCGGCCACCTAACCCTGGCAGTGAACACCCAGCTAGTGTTCGGGGAGGGGAAGGCAGAAGAAACAGTCATTGGGCAGCCCAGCCTTTAGCTAATGGCTCCTGGCTCAGGAAGAGGGTGCTCCACACTGGCAACAGAAAAAGAGTCTAAACAGGCTGACATGGAAAACAGAAGAAAAGCCCAAGGGGTGAGACTGCCACACTAAGGGGCATATGGGGCCCCAGAAGCACATGAGCTGTGGATATGGCCAGAAACAATCCTGCTTTCTACCCACTAACTGCAAAGCCTCGGCCAAGTCACCCCGCTCAGCTCTCCCACCTACAATAGGGCGACCGCCTATGGTCTCGGACGACTAGCCAACATTTGCTGAGCACTGTCTGCTGGGGGCTGAACTAAGCCCGTCACAGACCTTATCTCCATCCTCACCCTAAGAGAGAGGCACTATGACTTTCTCCAGTTAACAAATGAAGAACTTGAGAGTAGCTAGCCTAAGATCATGCAGCCAGTTAACAAAGAGGTGGCATTTGAACCCACCACTGCTAGTCTTACTGTGTGAAAGCCCCTAGCCAAGTGCTTGGCATAGACTTTCCATAGGTACCTGTTGAATCTGAGGCTTAAATAATAACAGGTTTGTATAAGCTGTGTACATTGGGACGAAATAAAATGCACGTTCACTATTGCTAATCAGAGGGTGCTGCCCAGGGCACCCCAGCTGTCCTCCGATTTCATCCCAGGCCTCCTGGGAGGTGGAAATCACCTTGAGCCACCAAAAGAAATTTTTTCCAGTGGCACCAACTGACCTGTTTTAAGGGCTTCCAAAGCAGGGGGTGCTGTCAGAAGCAGGGAGAAGTGAACCCCTGTGCCACCTGTGAGAGCCCCATCACTGGGGACAGAGCAGGACAGGGGTTAAGGGATGCTTTTTTGGAAGGTCGGAGGGGATGATATGAAGGTGCCAGAGGATATTGAGCAACACTAGGTCAATCAGAGCAGCACCTTGCAGCCTCAGAGGCCAAGGAGAGAGCGACTGCAGAGAACGGCACCCTCTAGTGGCTTCCTGTCCCTACTGCCACATCACAGCCACCTGGCGCCCGTGTACCTGCCCCAGGCCTTGCTCCAGGGTAATCTCTCACCATCCACCGTACCATACATCACAGACCTGAACTCATCACAGACCTGAACTCATCGTAGATTCTTCCTTCTCATTCACGGTTGGCACTGGCACCACCCTTTGAGTGAGCAACTCCTTAAATTTTGTGCCCTAGGCACCTTACCCACCTCACCCTAGTACCTGCCTTGAGTTTCACACACTCCCTACATCTAGCCAGTCATTAAACACCATCAAGTCTGTCTTCTTGGTGTGGCTCACACCATTCCCTCCTTTTCATCCTATAATACCTGCTGACTTCACTGCAATCCTCATGACTCACCTGGATCACCGTCATGAGCCCCCCCACTGCCTCAGTTTCCCCTTCCATCCATCTCTACAGGACACCCAGGGGGACCCACCAAAAACACAAGTCAGAGCTCCTGGGCTGCAAACTACTTAATGGGCCTCCGCTTCTTACAGGATAACCCCCAAAGTCTGTGGCCGTTGCAGGCTGGTGGGCTGGCCTAGCCTCCCAATCCCCTCTTACTGCTTATTCTACCCCACACCGTGTGCTCGGCACTCCAGCCCCGCCAAGAGAATCCCAGCTCCCTGAATCACAACACCGGGCTTCTTTTCCCACCCCATGTCCACCTGGAAAACCATGACTTCTGCAAGATGCAGCGTGAGCATCTTGGGACGTTTCCTCTGATCCCCTCCAATCTGCACATTTCCTTCTTTGGGCCTCTTCAATAACCAGGACACATTCCTAGTATTATATATCATAACATCCCATTATTGGTTTACATCCTGTCTCCCCTCTGAGCTCCTTCAGGGCAGGAATCAAGTCTTACTCAGATCTCAGTGTCCTAGGGCTTAGCACAATGCTAGGCACATGGTACGTGCTCAATCAGTGTTTGATGAAATGAAAGGAATCCTTGGGGTAGCCCCCGAGTGGGGTTGCAGGTCCTCTCTCTGGGCGCTCTCATTCAGAACAGAGCTGGCTCTTTAGCCCAGCTTCTCCTCCTTCAATCGACCAACCCACACCCATTGGGCAAAAGGACAGAGCAACAGGGTCTGAGCATCTGGGGAAACTGGCAGGCGGGATGCGCTGGTTGTGAAGAGGAAGAAGAGAAGGCAGCAGCTCTCTCTTGTACCTGAGGAAGCCCCCTACTGCTGTGGGCCATGGATGACCGGTCCCTCTAGCAGGGAATGGAGTCTTGGCGGACCTGGTGTCCGGCCTGGTCTCCCACTCTGGGACGTACTTGTCCACTCCAATCTTGAATCCTTGCACTTCCACCGGCATGTTACGTGACTCTGGTGTTTGCCGTCCAATAGAAAGACACGAGTTCTCAAACTTGGTTGCATAGGAGACTCACCGGGGAGCTTGTAAAACTCCCAGTGCCAGGCCACATCGCATTATCTTGGTCCTTTCCACGCATGGCTGTGAGAACTCCAGGCTAGATGCTCTAGAGAAGACTCTAGTTAAGGAAGGCACAGGCCACAGTAGACGCCCTGCTTTTTCCTGCCTGATTTAAAGACTGGGACTAGGGTGGAGTGAGAAACACAGGACAAGGAACCATGAGGGAAAAGCCCATTATTTCCTTTGCACCTGCTACATGCTGGATGTTTCACATTTATTTCTCCTAATAATCCTTTAAGTAGTGGGTCTCAAACTTTGATGTATATTAGAATCATCTGGGGAGCTTTGACAAGGCCCAGTGTTCAGGCTACACCCACTGCCAGTTAAATTGGAATGGGAGAGAAGGGGTAGGTGGGGAGGTCCCGGCACCAGTGGTTTTGAAAGGTTCCCAGGTGATTTCAGTGTGCAGTCAAATTTGACAATCACTGCTTTTTGAGGTCTCCAGAATCATTATTTGGGAGCTTGTTAAAAATGCAGAATCAGGCCCTAGTGAATCAGACTCTGCATTGTAACGAGATCCCAGGTGACTTTAAGGGGCATATTATTAGCACCATCATTTTTCCAAAAGCTTAGAGAGGTTAAGCAATCCATCCAAGGTCACCTCATGGCCATTAAATATAAATGGAGAATCCAGACCCAGGCTGGCCTGGCTCCAAAGCCCATGCTATTTCTATTGCAGACATTGTATTAAGTGCTTTAGGAAGCAGAACCTGCTACAAGAAAAGCAACATGTTTCCAGCAAGAGGAAATCATGTCTGACTAATCTCCAAGGTTATTACAGTACATGGGGAAGTCAGAGGCCAGAACTTTAAAGGTTAAAATGCTCCTGGTAAGGTTTTACGTCAGAGGTTATTCAAAGTTACATGGTGGAGGTAGGGGTGGGATAAGGACATGAAGGAAGGGAAGTACTTTCTCATAACAGGAAGGTGGACGAGGAAAAGGAAACTGAAATAAACAGGCGTCCCTCTAGGTAGAAAAATATTCAAATATTAACTGTTGGGACTGATCTCTGTTAGAAAGCTCCAGGTGGTAAGGCACATGAGAATTTGTAGGTTGTGTGAGCCAACACAACATGGTAGATGAGCTTCAGTTACAGTTTTACATTTTGGGAAAAAGTACTCCTAGCTCTACCCATTAAATGATAGCTGTGAGTAATCAGTTATAAACCAACACAAAAAAAGGGGGGGGAGGGAGAGTCAATTTCTATTGTTCCCATAAGACATTGGTTTAATATGCTGCCACAGCTAAAAAAAAAAAAAAACAGTAGCATCTGGCCAGGCAGCATCATGAAGGCTTTTTGGAAACAAAAGTCATTCTACCCTCATGTAAAACCATGATGCAGCTGAATGTAGAGAATTGTGCACAGTTCCTTCCCTGCATCTCTGGGGGACACAAAGGAGAAGATCCAGAGAAAGCGGCCAAAACCATCGAGAAGGGCTATTCTAAGAAACTTAAAAAATAGGACTCTTTAATCTGCAAAGACAAAGGAAGGTTAAGAGGATAGGCTGGGAAACTATACAATTGAAACCGGTGTGAAAAGCAAAGATCCAGACTTTTCCAATCAATCCTGGTCCTAGGGTAAGAGCTTATTATACCTTGAGTCTTTAGGGCAAGTACAGGGAAGCTCTACTATTCACAGGAAGTAATACATCTACGGAATCCAATACTTCAGGAGCATGGGATTAAATACTTAACCATTTATTTATTAAGGGATTCTGGGGACACATTTTTAACTTTTTATTGCCTTCCTCTCCTTTCAGAAAAAATGCACTAACATCAAAATAACCAGAGAAAGAAAACAAAATGAGAAAACACTTTGCATTTCCTTCACCATAGCTAAGCAGCTTCTTTTATTTTCCCTGCTTTTTCCAGAGTTTTCCATATGCACACATCATTTTTTCACATCTATGTGAAAAATGGTATAAATATAAGCTTAGGGCCTACTATTTCCACCTTATCAAATATCTCAAGCACTGTCTGTTACTGCCATAATGTTTATGATTAAAAGTTTAATGATTGTATAATATATTTAGAGTGGATAATTTATAATATATTTAATTAATCCCCATTATAAGATTATTATTGGTTGTTCAAGGTTTATAATAAACACCCTTGTGTATGTAACTTTTTGCTTTTTCAGGTTACTTTCTTTGAAGAAAATTTCAGGAGTGG